TTGTTTTGTTTTGTGTTGTGTTGTGGAGACAAGGCCTTGCTATGTTGCCCAGGCTGGTCTCAAACTCCTGGGCTCAAACGATCCTCCTGCCTTGGCCTCCCAAAGTGCTGGGATTACAGGCCTGAGTCGCTGCACCTGGCTGAAGATTTTGTGTGTGTATACAATCATGTCATCTGTGAATAAAGACAATTTTACTTCTTCCCCCTCCACCCCTATTTTTATGTCTTTTATTTCTTTTTCTTGCCTTCTTGCATTGTACTTCTAGTACAGTGTTGAATAGAAGTGGTGAGTGAGAATATCCTTGCCCTCTGTCAAATTTTAGGGGAGAAGAATTCAGTCTTTTACTAGTAAGCATAGGGCTTATGTGCTTTTACTGTGGTAAAGCACGATATTAGGCATTTTAACCATTTTCCAGTATATAATTCGGGGCACTAAGTATGTCAACATTGTTGTACAACCATCAGCACCATCCCTCTCAAGAACACTTTCATCTTACCAAACTGAAACTCTGTATCTGTTATTAGCAATAACTTCCAGCCGGGCTCGGTGGCTCAGCCTATAATCCCGCGCCTTGGGAGGCTGAGGTGAGTGGATTGCCTGAGCCTGCGGGTTCGAGACCCTCCTGGGCAACTTGGTGAGACCTCATCTCTACAATAAATCAAAAAAAAAATTAGCCGGGCGTGGTAGCGTGCTTCTGTAGTTCCAGCCACTTAGAAGGCTGAGGCGGAAGGCTCGCCGGAGCCCAGCAGGTTGAGGCTGTGGTGACCGGGAGTGGCCACTGCACTCCTGTCTGGGTGACAGAGTGAGACTCCAACTCAAACAAAAACAAAAGACAATAACTTCCTATCTACCACCCACCACAGCCTCCACTCCCTACCTCCAGTTCCTGGCAGCCACCATTCTGCTTTCTGCCTTTATGAATTTGACTCCTTTCAGGTACCTCATAGAAACTGGAATCATACAATATTTGTCCTCTTGTGTCTGGCCTGTTTCACTTAGCAGGGTATCTTCAAGATTCACCTATGCTGTGTGCATGTCAGAGTTATCTTCCTTTTTAAGGTTCAGTATTCATGGGGGATTAGTTTCAGGATCCATGGGGATACCAAGCTTCAAGGAGGTTCAAATCTCTATATAAAATGTAGTAGCATTTGCATATAACCTTCACACATCGTCCTGTATACTTTAAATCATCTCTAGAGCTGAGGTGGCTCAGCCTGTAATACCACGCCTTTGGGAGGTTGAGGTGAGTGGATTGCCTGAGTCCGCAGGTTCGAGACCCGCCTGGGCAGCGAGATCTCATCTCTACAATAAATCAAAAAAATTAGCCAGGTATGGTAGAGCGCGCATGTAGTTTCAGCTACTTGGAAGGCTGAGGCGGAAGGATCGCTGGAGCCCAGCAGGTCGAGGCTGCAGTGGCCGGGAATGGCCACTACACTCCAGTCTGGGCGACAGAGTGAGACTCCAACTCAAAAAAAAAAAAATGCTAAATGTTATGTTATGTCTATTTTACCACAATGATGATATAAGAGGTTAGATCAGGCCGGGCTCGGTGCCTCAGCCTGTAATCCCAGCACTTTGGGAGGCTGAGGTGAGTGGATTGCCTGAGCCCGCGGGTTCGAGACCCGCCTGGGCAACTTGACGAGATCTCATCTCTACAACAAATCAAAAAAATTTAACCAGGCACGGTAGCGCACGCCTGTAATTCCGGCTACTCGGAAGGCTGAGGCGGAAGGATCACCGGAGCCCAGCAGGTCGAGGCTGCGGTGGCCGGGAGCGGCCACTGCACTCCAGTCTGGGCGACAGAATGAGACTCCAACTCAAAATAAAATAAAATAAAAAATCATCTCTAGATTACTTACAATTTCAAATAACAATGTAAATGTTATGTAAATGTTATGTCAATAGTTATTATACTTGTTGGGTTTTATTTATATTATTTTTATTGCTTTTAAAAAATTTTTTTGATTTGCAGTTGGTTGAATGCAGGGATGTTGAACCCATGGATACAGAGGGCCTACTGTACTATAATGATGTATATACCACATTTTGTTTATCTCTTCATCCATCAATAGATGTTTGGGTTGTTCTATCTTTTGGCTATTGTGAATAATGCTGCTATGAGCACTGATGTATATGTATTTGTTTGAATTCTTGCTTTCAATTTTTGTGTGTGTATATAGCCAGAAGTGAAATAGCTGGGTCATAGGGGCATACTATGTTTACTTTTTTGAAGAACTGCCATACTGTTTTCCACTACAGCAGTATCATTGTTGTTCCCATAAGCAGTGTACAAGGTTTCCAATTATTACACATCCTTGCCAACACTTGTTAGTTTCAGTTTGCTTTGAGAATGACCATTCTAATATATGCGAAATAGTATCTCATTGTAGTTTTGATTTGCTTTACCCTAATGATTAGTGAATATATTTTTGGTTAGCTAATTCCTGACTTTTTCCTGAATCTATAAGTATACTCTGCTGCATGCAGCAGAATTTTTTTTTTTTTTAGTTAGAGTCTCACTCTGTCACCTAGACTGGAGGTCAGTAGCATCCTCCTGGCCACCACAGCCTTGACCTACTGGGCTCAAGTGATCCTTCCACCTCAGTCTTTCAAGTAGCTGGAACTACAGGCACATGCCATGATGCCCGGCTCATTTTATTTGTAGAGATGAGGTCTCACCAAGTTGCCCAGGCCAATCTCGAACCCATGGGTTCAGGCAATCCTCTCACCTTGACCTCCCAAAGTGCTGAGATTATAGGCGTGAACCACTGTGCCCGGCCTTGCAGCAGAATTTGAAACTTTATTAATTTACTTTTTGGGGTAAATGTTTGATTTAAAAATTATATCAAGTGATGTTATACTGAATTTTAAAAATTTTTTTTGAGTCATAGTCTCACTCTGTCGCCCAGGCTGGAGTGCAGTGGCATGCTAACAGCCACCGCAGCCTTGACCTGCTAGGCTCAGGTGATTCTTCCACGCCAACCTTCCAAGTAGCTGGAACCACAGGCGTGTGCCACCATGTCTGGCTAATTTTTTTATTTATTGTAGAAACAAGGTCTCACCAAGTTGCCCAGGTTGGTTTCAAACCTCTGGGTGTAGGCAATCCTCTTGTCTCTGCCTCCCAAAGTGCTGGGATTATAGGAGTGAGCCACTGCGCTTGGCTTTTTTTTTTTCTTCAGAGATAGGGTTTTGCTATGCTACCCAGGCTAGTCTTGAACTCCTGCCCTCAAGTGATCCTCCCACCTCAGCCTCCCAAAGTGCTGGAGTACAGGAGTGAGTCACTACACTCAACCACATACTGAATATTTTTGCAGTGAATTACTTTTCAATCTAATCAATCTAAATGACTTTGCATTAAAAATATGGTGCATTGTATTTTCGTATACGAATAACCACTCTGGCATGGGCCCAAAGTCATCTTGTGGAATGGAGGAAACTCAAAATAAAAGACTTTGGTTTTATTTGTGCAACTTCTGGTGGGAGGGCACTGTGGTGCAGGGGAAGTAGGGTTGCAGAGGAGGTGGGAGACTGGACCAGCACATGCTGGCCTGACCTGCTGGGGGATGTCAGGGAATGTCCTGAGCTTGGGCCATCGTTTGCAAAGCTCTGGGCTTTCTGCAAGGGGATAAGGCTTTTTGTGCAGGCCAGTCTTACCGGCGCAGGCTGTTGGTTATTCAGTTATAGTAGTCACCCTTATCTGTACAGTTCTAAGCCCCCCGGTGGATGCCTGAAACCTCGGATAGTACCAAACAACCCTGCCTATACTATATATTTAGCCGAGAGGCTTACTAAGTGACTAGCTGGCATGTAACATAGTATACAGTGTGGATATGCTGGGCAAAGGAACTTTCATGTCCTGTGCAGGATGGAGCAAGGTAGTTCAGGGTTTCCTCATGCTGCTCAGGACAGCACACAATCTAAAACTTATGAATAGTTTATTTCTGGAATTTTCCATTTAGTATTTTTGGACTGTGGATGAATGTGGGTTTTGGATAACTGAAACCTCCAAGAAGTGAAGACTACTGTAATTGTGCTGATGGAGTTTTAGAGTGTTGAAAATCAGATAATTTAATTATAAAGATTTGGCGGTATCAGAATTTCTTCCAGTAGACCTCATTTTGAAAACGTATATTCTCATTTTTAAAAAATGGAAGTGTTATAATTGGCAATTCTCCAGCTCTAATCTACATATATGATTCATTTTCAGTATTTATGTTAGATACTAATCTTCATTTTTCACCTCCTAAGTTTCTTATTTTGCATTTTTACATTTTCACGTAGTGGCTAAGACAGTTCCTCATGCCTATTAACAACCCAACCCATATTTATTTAATTAATTATTTTATTTATGTTAGTGTCTTTTGGAAGAGAAGACTGAAGAATACATAATCTGTAAATCTTGCTAGTTTTATTTTAATTTTTTTTGAGTTGGAGTCTCACTCTGTCACCCAGGCTGGAGTGCAGTGTCACGCTGCTCATGGCCACAGTCTCGATTTGCTGGGTTCAGGCGATCCTTCTGCCTCAGCCTTCCAAGTAGCTGGAACTATAGGATCGCACACACCATGCCCAGCTAATTTTTTGATTTATTGTAAAGACGAGGGCTCACCAAGTTGTCCAGGCTTGTCCTGAACCCTTGGACTCAGGCAATCCTCTCTCTTCTACCTCCCAAAGTGCTGGGATTGCAGGCATGAGCCATAGTGCCCAACTAAGTCTTACCAATTTATGAACATAGTTCTTTAGGGAAAATAGTCCCTGATGTGTTAACTAAATGTTGCATTTCCCAGAAACAGCATTTTAACAGAAAATAGTAATATCAACATTTTATTTTTAGCTGGTTAACATACCAAGTAAGCACCTCCTTGTAAAGAAGTAACATAGTCTTCAGCTTTCCACGGAAGAGTGTGGCTTCATTATCTCAAAGCTAATGAACAATCATTAGAGCAATCAGCACATGCTGTTTAACAGTGTTCTTTAATTATTTTTTATTTTTTATTTTTAAGGTACAGGAAAAACAATGGTGATGGACATGTTTTATGCTTATGTGGAAATGAAGAGGAAAAAACGAGTTCATTTTCATGGATTTATGCTAGATGTGCACAAAAGTAAGTTAATTATTTGAAAGAAGTTATTTTTTTCTTCGGGCAAACACTACAAAACAGCTTTCTTCATTTAATGGATATGTAATCTTTTATTTTATTATTATTTTTAATTAAATTTTCTTTAATTTAAAAAGAATAGAAGCCAGGTACAATGACTCACACCTATAATCCCAGCACTTTGGGAAGCTGAGGCGAGAGTATTGCTTAAGTCCAGGAGTCCGAGACCAGCCTCGGCAACATTTTATTTGGTTTATTTGTTTTGTGCTATATTGAAGCTGTCAGTTATGTGTCCAGAGTTGGCCCTTAAGATCATCTCAACACTTCCAAATCAGAGAACAGAAGTCACTATATGAAGGTCAGGCATTTCCTATTTCTACTAAAAGTTGATTTTAAAAAATGTTTATAAAAACCTGCTTCAAGAAGTTCTTCTTCCTTTTTTTTTTTTTAAATTGTGGTCTTACTCTGTCACCCAGATTGGAGTGCAGTGGCACAATCACGGCTCACCGCAGCCTTGAACTCCTGGGCTCAAGTGATCCTCCTGCCTTAGCCTCTCAAATAGTGGGCACTACAGTTGCATGCCACCACGCCCAGCTAATTTTTTGATTTTTTAAAAGTAGACATGAGGCCTTGCTATATTGCCCAGGCTTCTGGTCTGAAACTCCTAAGCTCAAGCAGTCCTCCTGTCTTGGCCTCCCAAAGTGCTGGGGAATTACAGGTGTGAGCTACCATACTGGCTTCATACATTATTCTGGATTAGGCCATTCCTTGTGTTCCTTAGCATGTAGGCATTTGGCTTGTGCTTGCGTGTGAGCGTTGTGGCTCTGCCAGTGTTCCTGTGTTCTTTCACTTCTGCATGTTTATCTACCAGCTACACTGTGACCTCTTGGGGTAGGAACCTTGTGTTTTTCTAATGACACTTTCAGCATTTAGTATATACATAATGAACGAAGTGGCTCTGCTTTAGTGATTAGGCTAGTGACAAGGGAACGTGGTGACTAGATATGAGGGAAGACCCCCAAACTGGAATTATTCTTCAGAGAGCAGGCCAGTTGTAGTACTGGCTTCCCCTGCTGAGTGTCCTGGGAACCCATCGGCATCCGTGGACCAGCTAGTGTTGCTGTGAGAGGCTGCATTTGGCTTCAGTGAATTTTTTTTTTACAGATTCTTTCAATGTGTTTGCCCATTTCAGGATGGGTGACTTACAAGCGCACCTGCCCACACCACGCTGAGTGTTCAGCAGTTTTTGACCAAACATGACATGACCCCCATGATCCACCCTCCCTATTCACCCCATCTCACCCCAAGAGACTTTTTTTAGTTTCTTCAATGAAAAAAGTCCTCAAAGGGAAATGTTTGGCCGATGTGAAGGAGGTGAAACAAAAACAGCAGAAGCACTAAAAGACATCAAAATGGATGAGTTCACAAACTGTTTTGAGCAGTGAAAAAGTGTCTTGATACAGGTGTATTGCATCAAACGGAGAGTACTTTGAAGGTGACTGAAGTTTGAACATGTAAGAACAAATACACAAGTTTTTATGAATAAATTCCAGATTTTGGGGGGTCCCCACCCTTATGCTAGACATAACATGCACTACTTGGGCAGGCTTGCACCTTCCACTCCTATCCCTGAAATCCAGCCTATTACCTTGTCATCTCTGACAAGTGATTGAAGAGTTGACATGGAATGACCTTGAAATTTCCTTACAAATATAAGAATATAATAATATTTGAACAACTTAGAGAAAATGCAACCAATATCAATAATCAAATTTAAACTTGATTTTTTTGTTCACATGTATGTTTCATTTAGAGATTTAAGAATATCTTATCATTGTCTAACATGTACTAATCTAATATTTGGTCTGTGTTTAATTTCATCCATTTAAGGAATACATCGCCTTAAACAGAGTTTGCCAAAAAGAAAAGCAGGATTTATGACTAAATCATATGATCCAATAGCTCCTATTGCCGAAGAAATCAGTGGAGAAGCCTGTCTCTTATGTTTTGATGAATTTCAGGTAAAGTAGAGATTTTTCATAGCTGTAGAACGGTAGATTGAATGAGGTATGAAGATTTAATTTTTGCTCCTGGTTTTATCACTTTTTTATAAGTTGACACTTTGTCTCTTATTTCAGTTTAACTCTCTAGTTCAGGGGTTGGCAAACCACCAAGACCACAGGGCACATCTGACCTACCTGTTTGTATGGTTAGGAGAAAAGAAGAGTTTTTACATTTTTAAAGGTAGTTGAGCCGGCTGTGGTGGCTCATGCCTGCAATCCCCACACCTTGGGATGCCAAGCTGGGCATCATAGCAAGACCTCATCGCTACAAGAAATAAAAAATAAAAATGAAAATTAGCTGGGCATGTTGGCGCATGCCTGTAGTCCTAGCTACTCAGGAGCCTGAGGTAGAAGGATTGCATGAGCCCAGGAGGTCAAGGGTTTGGTGAACTGTGATCGTGCCACTGTACTCCAGCCTGGGTGACAGAGCGAGACCCTGACCCAAAATAAATAAATAAAGGCGGGGGGGGGATGAGGAAGTAGAAAACAGAGACTCTATGTGGCTTGCAAAGCCTAAAATATTTACTTCTCAGTCTTTCACAGGAAAAGTTTGCCACCTCTAAATTCTGGTTTATGGCCCAACATCTCACCTACACCACAGAGATAATGTACTGGTTATAAAATGGTGTCTTTAAAAATGTTAGAGAACTTTAAAAAGTGTTATATAAAGAACAAGTGGGCTGGGCTCGGTGGCTTAGCCTGTAATCCCAGCACTTTGGGAGACTAAGGCGAGTGGATAATGGTTCGAGACCAGCCTGGGCAACTTGGTGAGCCCTCATCACTACAATGGAAAAAAAAATTAGCTGGGCGTGGTAGCATGCGCCTGTAGTTCCAGCTACTTGGAAGGTTGAGGCGGAAGGATCGCTGGAGCCCAGCAGGTTGACACTGGGGTGGCGATGAGCTTGCCACTGCACTCCAGCCTGGGCGACAGAGTAAGATTCTGCAAAAACAAAAAAGAACAAGCAGTTGACACACCTCATTCAAGCCACACAGTAAACTTACATGTCTGGGATGAAGGGAGAAAATTGCCTTGTTGAACTTTTGAAGTTTCTTTTAGGTTTAGGATTCTCTGAAAATATGCATTTAAATTGGTAGTGAGCGAATGCCTGTTCTCTATGTTTTACAACCTGGGTTGGTGGGAGGATGGTATAGCCAGGATGCTTTCACCCCAAATCCTGGCTCTCCTTTACTGCTGGCACATGTAACTCACAGGAGTCTCAAGACTTGAACAGGGGAGAGCAGCACGGTCACCAGGAATGCTGCTACGCTAAGCCATCTGCGGAGGAGGGACCATGCCTTCTTGCTCCTTTCCATCACGTTAAGACAGACTAGCATTCGTCCCGTGTCTAGCAAGTTCTGAGGGAAGGCTCATGCAAGAGACAAGAGAACAGATGCCCCCCCAGCCTCTGTGTGCACCAATGTATTGCAGAGAGAGAAGGGCCTCATTTTGTTGTTCTGAAAACAGCACCAAGTTAACAGTCATGCTGCTTTCAAGAACAAAAGTCAGTGATGAATCCATAAGGGCCATTTCTCTTCATTTTCTATTACTAGACTTGTAACCAAAATATCTCTAAATAACATCGTATGGTCATAGTTAAATTTCTGGTTAAGGTATTGAAATTTAATTTTTATTAGCTGGGCGTGGTAGCGCGCGCTTGTAGTTCCAGCTACTTGGAAGGCTGAACGGAAGGATCGCCGGAGCCCAGCAGGTCGAGGCTGCGGTGGCCGGGAGTGGCCACTGCACTCCAGTCTGGGCGACAGAGTGAGACTCCAACTCAAAAAAAAAAAAAAAGAAATTTAATTTTTAAGAAGGTGTATCAATACCCAGTCTTTATGATTCAGGGTTTATAATGTGTTTTTAGAGCCTTCTTTCATTTAATTCTGCACAATAGTTATTATTATTACCTTCACATAGACATGAGAAATCTAAAGACATCAGAATATTTCGGGTATGATGTAAAAATAATTATCTATAACTTTTTAATTTAATTTAATTTAATTTTTTTTGAGTCAGAGTCTCATTCTGTCGACCAGGCTGGAGTGCCATCGGTGCTTGTCCCCATTCTGGAGGCTCAAGTACATCGGTTTTCTTTCTTTCTTTTTAAATTAATTTTTTTGGTTTGGTTTTATTTTGTTTGTTTTTTTGAGTTGGAGTCTCACTCGGTCGCCCAGACTGGAGTGCAGTGGCTGCTCTCGGCCACTGCAGCCTCGCCTGCTGGGCTCTGGCGATCCTTCCACCTCAGCCTTCTGAGTAGCCGGAATTACAGGCATGCACTACCACGCCCAGCTGATTTTTTGATTTATTGTAGAGATGAGGTCTCGCTGCCCAGGCAGGTCTCGAACCTGCGGGCTCAGGCAATCCACTCACTTCAGCCTCCCAAAGGTGCGGGATTACAGGCTGAGCCACCGAGCCCGGCTTAAATTATTTTTTATTAAAAAAATTTTTTTTTGAATCAGGGTCTCACTGGGTTACGCAGGCTTGGATGCAGTACCATGATCATGGCCCCCTGTAGCCTTGATCTGCTGGGCGTAGGTGATCCTTCCTCCCCAGCCTACCACATAACTGGGACTACAGGTGTATACCCCCACACCCAGCCAATTTTTAAATATTTTTGTAGAGACAAAGTTTTGCCATGTTGCCTAGGCTGGTCCCGAACTCTTGGGCTCAAGCAATCCTCCCACCTTGTCCTCCATAAATGTTAGGATTACAGGCATGAGCCACTGCAGCTGGCCATCAAGTAAGTCAGTACATCTTTTTTCTTTTCCTTTTTTTTTTAAATTTTTTTTTGAGTCAGCGTCTCACTCTGACACCTAGGCTCTAGTGCAGTGGCACACTCATGGCCACTGCAGCCTTGACCTGCTGGGCTCAGGCTATCCCTCCACCTCAGCCTTCCAAGTAGCTGGAACCACAGGCGTGTGCCATCACTCCTGGCTCATTTTTTTTGACTTATTGTAGAGACAAGGTCTTGCCAAGTTGCCCAGGCTAGTCTCAAACCCCTGGGCTCAGGCAATCCTCTCACCTCTGCTGCCCAAAATGCTGGGATTACATGTGTAAGCCACCACACCCGGCTCATCTTTTTTCTTTAGCTAGCTTTCCTGTGCCTATTTCTTGCAAACAGGGTCTTGGTAAGACTAAGACTATTTTTTTTTTTTGAGTTGGAGTCTCACTCTGTCACCCAGACTGAAGTGCAGTGGCATGCTCATGGCCACCACAGCCTCGGCTTGCTGGGCTCAGGCAATCCTTCTGCCACAGCCTTCCAAATAGTTGGGACTACAGGTGTGTGCCATCACACCCTGCTAATTTTTTATTTATTGTATAGACATGATCTTGCCATGTTGCCCAGGCTGGTCTCGAACCCATGGGCTCAGGCAATCCTCTCGCCTTGGCCTCCCAAAGTGCTGGGATTACAGGCGTGAGTCACCATGCCTGGCTGAGAATAGAACTATTTAACTCATGTTTTACTCCTATCTGCTATGTCAAGAGAGATTTTTCTGTAATCTGTAAAATATAGCATAAACATTGGTAAGAAGTATTATGAGGAAATTTCACCTTCCTTAATATAAAATCTGTAATTTCCCATTGAAGGAGAATTACCTAATGAACTAAAACTCAAGAAGAACAAAGATGAGTATCTACCAAGAATGCTTTTGGCTGCAGGTAACAGAAAAGCCAACTCAAAAGGGCTCGTGGCTTCGTGGGGTGACGCACACCTGTAATCCCGGCGTTTGGGAGACTGAGGTGGGAGGATCGCTTGAGGCTAGGAGTTTGAGTGGGCAACATAGCGAGCCCCATGTTTACAAAAAAGTAAAAAAAAATTAACTGAGTTTGTGACACATGCCTGTAGTCTCAGCTATTTAGGAGGCATAGGCAAGAGGATCACTTGAGGCTATGGTGACTATGATGACATGCCACTGCACTCCAACCTGGGTGACAAAGTGAGACCCCATCTCTAAAAAAAAGAAAAAGAAAGGGCTGTACTCTAAGGGGAGATAGTATGTAATATAAGATAGTTTCATTTTCCTTGTGCAAACTCTCTGCTTCCTCTCTGACCTTACTTCTACAATTTCAGCCTCACTCACTGCTCCCTGCTGTTCTCAGTCCTGTTTTCTTCATAGATTAGGGAAGCATGGTTAGCAGTTGGGTATTATACCAGATGCTGCTTTCCCAGCAGGGCTCTGAAGAAAATATGCACAGAGATGACAAAACAAGACTATACCAAATTGATTGGTTTATTTGACCCCAAATTTTGACATAGCATTCTTGTGGGTTAAGAGTTGACAATAGAGTTGACCCTATTTTCTTGAGCAGTGCTGGCTTGAATGTCCTAGAATGAAGAATGTGAACAGTCTTGCTCTTTATTTCCTTTGCGATGCCAAGCTTGAACCTTGGAGCTTACCACAGTGTGCAAGAAAGGCTGATCCCTGCATATGCTTGATGTGGAGCAGAGCCAGAGAAAGTGAGAATCTAAGGGCAGGAGAGTGTCTCTTGCAGGAGAAAGAGACCTCTGAACAGAGCCGTAATTTCCTAGTTTCAGTATCCTGAACTGTCTTCAGCTGGTTTTGGAGAAGCATTTCCAGTCCACCCAAACTGGATCGTCACAAGTTCAAATCACTACGTAACTCTCTTCTCTAAAATTCAAGATGAGCTGGGCTCGATGGCTCACGCTTGTATTCCCAGCACTTTGGGAGGCTGAGATGAGAGGATTGCCTGAGCCCGAAGGTTCGAGACTAGCCTGGGCAACTTGGTGAGACCTCATCTCTACAATAAGTCAAAAAATGAGCCGGGCATGGTGGCACGTGCCTGTAGTTCCAGCTACTTGGAAAGCTGAGGTGGAAGGATCACCTGAGCGCAGCAAGTCGAGGCTGTAGTGGCTGTGAGCGTGCCACTGTACTCCAGCCTGGGCGACAGTGAGACTCTGACTAAAAAATAAGATAAAATCAAGATGATAAAGGGATAC